GCAAATGATAAAATAAAACATACTTACGTGAGTCAGAACTGCCAGCATTTTAGTCTAACGTTACTCTCCCAGGATCAGTAAACAGTCCTCCATAAAATGTGCCGGCGATCCACAGCACTAAGTTGAAGTATTCCCTCAGCGACCAGCACAGATCAGCTCTAGGTATGACGAAGCGGATATTGTCCTCTTTTGGAAGACCAAACAAAGTCGTTTCGCTTTCACAACGAAAAACACAGCGGCCTAGCGTGAGTGAAAGCCCTCAACAAGAGTGAGCTGAGGTGGCGGGGTCGAGAACAGCGGTCCCGACGAAGGAGCGGTGAAAGCTGATCTGGCAATCCACAGCACTAAGTTGAAGAATTTCCTCAGCGACCAGCACGGATCAGCTCTAGGCATGACGAAGCGGATATCATCCTCTTTTGGGAGACCAAACAAAGTAGTTTCGCTTTCACAACGAAACACACAGCGTCTTCAGGACATGGCAGCAGCGGCAACCATACTACAGCAAGAATAAAAGTTACGCCTTCTTTCTTTGCATGAACATTTGGGCGGCGTTATGCAAATCTTCCCACAGTGAGGTAGATATGTGGGGGCGTGTTAGAACGAGCCGTTTTAGGTAGGTGTGGCTGACTCTTAACTTTTATAAAGCATATCTCTTTGGATTTGAGACTTTAGTCTTTGCAAATTTACAGATCTTCTTTATGCACCAAGAGCTTGTAACACTCCAAAGAGAAAGGAAAAAATTTAATTGCATCATATGACTCCTTTAAAATGCAGTTCTTATAAGCAATGGCTTAAATATATCTGTACTATGGTAAATGCATTACTGTTCAAGCAACAGTGTGACAGCAAAGACATGTACAATGTAAAAAAAATCTATTTCAAGTAAATGCTGTTCTTTTGAACTTTCTATTCATCAAACGATCCTGAAAAAAGAAAAGAAAATGAATTCTGAAAAATTGTGTTTTCCACAAAAATATAAAAATGTTCCTTGAGGAGCAAATCAGCATATTAAAATGATTTCTGAAGGATCATGTGACACTGAGGACTGGCGTAATGATGCTGAAAATTCAGCTTTGCATCACAGGAATAAATCACATTTTAAAATATATAGAAAACTGTTATTTTTAATTGTAATGATATTTCACAATACTGTTTTACTGTATTAAATAAATGCTGTCTTGGTGAGCATCAGAAACTATCAAGAACATTTACCAACCCCAAAATGTATGTTTACACATACGAGGAATGTGTTTTTGTGACAGAAGCTTCCACAGTGCAACAGAATGACAGTGACAAGACAAAACACAGATAATGAAAGAATAAAAATAGAAGTAAATAGGGAATATAACAATATACAAATTGACAACTTGTATGTACAGGCATATTACAATAGACAGTTTTGTATGTACAGGTATATTATGTGCAAATTTGAAATGTAAACTAAGTATGTGTGTTAGATAAATAAATGTATAAGTGTATAAATAGTGTTGTGTATTCCACAATTATTGTCAAGTGTTCATGAGATGGATTGCCTGAGGGAAGAAACGGTTCCTCTGCCTGGCCGTTCTGGTGCTCAGTACTCTGTAGCCTTGACCAGACGGTAACAGTTCAAAGAGGGAGTGTGCTGGATGTGAGGGGTCCAGAGTGATTTTCTTAGCCCTTTTGCACACTCTGGATAAGTACAGTTCTTGGAGAGTGGGGAGGGTTGTACCAGTGATTCGCTCAGCAGCCCGGACTATCCTACGTAGTCTTCTGAGGTCAGATTTGGTAGCTGAGCTGAATCAGATAGTTATTGAAATGCAGAGGATGGATTCATTGATGGCAGAGTAGAATTGTTTCAGCAGCTCCTGTGGCAGTTGATGTGAATGTCCCACTTCAGGTCCTGAGAGATGGTGGTGCCCAGGAACCTGAATGACTCCACTGTTGTTACAGTGCTGTTCATGATGGTGAGTGGGGGGAGTGCAGGGGGGTTCCTCCGGAAGTCAACGATCATCTCCACTGTTTTGAGCGTGTTGAGCACAGTAGTCAGTAGTTTGATTGGATGCATGAAAGATACAATAACTGGGTATATTTATTTAGCTAAATTTTATTATTTGCATGTACAACTGTTATGCCTGCTGTATAAATAGACCTGGTAGTTGAGAACCACTGCGATTATAATATCCAAAACAACCTGGTGCAGGTGGTTATAACTGCACCAGACAGCCAGCTCTTTAACCTCCTGTCTGTAAGCAGATTCATCACCATCCTGAATAAGGCCGATATGCGTGGTGTCGTCTGCAAGCTTCAGGAGCTTGACAGAGGGGTCCTTTGAAGTGCAGTCATTTGTGTACAGGGAGAAGAGCAGTGAGGAGAAAACACAACCCTGGGGGGTGCCAGTGCGGATCGTACGGGTGCTGGATAAGAATTTTTCCAGCTTTACTAGCTGCCTGTCTGTCAGGAAGCTGGTGATCCACTGACAGACGGAGGTGGGCACAGAGAGCAGAGTTAATTTGGGCAAGAGGAGGTTCGGGATGATAGTGTTAAAAGCCGAGCTGAAGTCCACAAACAAGGATCCTCACATAAGTCCTTGATCTGTCTAGATGTTGCAGAACATAAAGCAGTCCCATGTTGACTGCATCGTCCACAGACCTGTTTGCAAACTGAAGAGGATCCAGCAAGGGTCCAGTGATTTCCTTCAGGTGGGTCAGCACCAGTTTTTCAAATGCCTTCATGACCATAGATGTTTGAGCAACAGGTCTGTAGTCATTTTGTCCTGTAATTTTGGGTTTCTTTGGGATGGGGATGATGGTGGAGCATTTGAAGCATGAAGGGACTTCGCACAGCTCCAGTGATCTGTTGAAGATCTGTGTGAAGATGGGGGCCAGCTGGTCAGCACAGATTTTCAGACAGGCTGGTGTGACACCACAAAGGCCTGGTGCCTTTCTTCTCTTGTTCTTTCTGAAGAACTGACACACATCATCTTCACTGATCTGAAGTGCAGGAGTGGGGGAGAGGGAGGTGCTGGAGGTGTTAATGGTGTTTTTTCAAACCTGCAATAGAATTCATTCAGATCGTGTGCCAGTTGTTGATTCTCCACAGTGCTGGGGGATGGTGTCTTGTAGTTGGTGATGTCTTTCAGACCTTTCCACACTGAAGCCGTGTCATTGGAAGAGAACTGGATACTTAGCTTTTCAGAATAATTCCTCTTTGCCACTCTGATCTCCTTTTCCAGTGTGTATTTGGCCTGTTTATACAAGACTCTGTCCCCGTTCCTGTGAGCATCTTCTTTGGCCTGACGGAGCTGGCTGAGTTTTGCAGAGAACCACGGTTTGTCGTTGTTGTAAGTTAAATGAGTTCTGGTAGGAATGCATGTCTTCACAGAAACTGATATAGGATGTTACAGTCTCTGTGAGCTCGTCCAGATCGTTTGCAGCAGCTTCAAAAACAGCTCCAATCAGTGCAGTCGAAACAGGCTTGTAAATCCCACTCCGTTTCATTAGTCCATCTTTTTACAGCCCTTAAAACAGGTTTAGCTGATTTCAGTTTCTGCCTGTAGGACGGTATAAGATGAACCAAACAGTGGTCAGAGAGCCCTAAAGATGCCCGTGGGACAGAGTGATATGAATCTTTTATTGTTGTGTAACAGTGATCCAATATATTACAGTCTCTGGTGAGACATGTGACGTGCTGTCTGTATTTTGGCAGTTCACGGGAGAGATTTGCTTTATTAAAGTCCCCGAGAATGATTATAACAGAGTCCAGGAGTTGTTGTTCTGTCTTTGTGATCAGCGAGTTGTTGTAAAGCCAGGCTCACAAGTGCTTGCGGTGGAATGTAAACACTCACGAGTTGTACACTCACAATTACAATTAACAATGGTGTACAATATACATATATACAATGTACACATATGTACAGATACGCACAGTGTTGTATATATAAACAGATAAATAGGAATACATATGTACACAGACAGTACTAACATTAGCATCGACAATACAATACGTAAACAAAATATACTTAACACCAGGAAATTGACTTATGGTAGGCATATACAGTACATAGTATATATAATGTGGATATGTGTGTTGTATTGTTATATTAACGATATATTTGTGCAACAGTTGTAGTTTAGCAGTCTGATGGCCTGAGAGAAGAAACTGTCCCGCAGCCGACTGGTGCGGGCCCTGATGCTTTTGTAGGGACCTGCCTGATGGCAGTAGTGAGAGGAGACTGTGACTCAAGTCAGTATGATATAACCAACATGCAGGTCATTATGTTATGTGACAACAAAATCATAAAACAGGAAATTACATCACAGAGAGGACCCCCGTAGACCCTCATAGGGCCTTTCGCACCGCGGGAACCTTTTCATAGTACCAGAACTAATTGTGGAACTACCCACTTTTTGGTGCGGTTTTAGTACTGGACTGCCTTTTTCGAGAACCAAATTAGCTCCTACTCCGGAGCAGGATCTAACCAGCACAACTGGTACTAATTGTGACGCAAGTAGACATTGATTGGCCAAACGCGTATGAAAAGGCCCTCACCCACCATGATTTAAAACACCGTGTAAACATACTGTAAACATTGTGTCAACTTATTTCCCAAGTATGGAGAACAGCGATAGATGGACGGACGCTGAAGTGCAGGCACTTGTAGCAAATGTAGCACTGCCAGTTGTCGTTGGAGATTCTTAGTCCTCCTTTCCGTTCTTTCAATCGCTTTACGTATACGTCAACTTTCCATGTCCATTATTGTGAAACCCGCAAAACACAGCTCCGATCACAGCGTCCTCCATCCTCCTGTTGTTAATGTTGTTCTTCTTTGTTTCTGTTGTTGAACGGCACGCACAAATGACGTCGCTGTCGACCGGCTTACGTCACTTCTTAGTACACACTGTCGGTGCGAATGCAACCCTTTAAATGGTACTGGAAAAATAGTTAGCGCAAAATCGTCCCAGTACTTTAGTACTGTACATTTAGTTCTGGAACTAAAGCGGTGTGAAAGGCCCTCATGATACCGTATGTCACATGTCTTAAGAAAAATCAATATGACCTCTTATGGCACAATAAGTTAGTTCAGCTTGAAATGTCAAAGGAATAACCCTAAAGAAAATGTCAAAATGCATACTAAAAAATGCATCTTAAAAATGACTCAAAATGCAAACTACAATGTCTTACCTGTCTTAAAAATGTATATCAAAAATGTTTGAAAAAATTCATGAAAATAATGGAAAATGATGATTTAAATGTGTATTCAATGGGCAAACAAAATATGATATTACATGTTATTACCATTGACACTTATTAATCAAAATGTCAAAAATATATGAAACCGATGACAGAAAACTTGGAACCTTTGTATTTAAACAAGATTTTTAAACAATTGTCAATTCAGACATAGTAATCTGACCTATGAATATGTAACCTTAGGTATTCCTTCAAGATAATATATTTTATAACCTTTCAGTGAAGTGGCCTAACTATGAACTATGTTGTTTCAGTGAACAAACAAATGCAGTCCCTATCATTTTCCCTTCAATCAGATGACACGTTTAGTAAACTCAGTTGGTTTTGTGTGGGTTTGCCTTTGACAAGGATGTGGTTAATACTTAAGTACAACATCAGTGCATGAGGCAAAACCAGGCCGCTTCCGGAGAAGACTATCATTTTGAAAGAGCAAGAAGAGCTGCAACATGCTACAACTTCTGGTAGGTTAAAGTGCTATAAAAATGGATAAAAATAGGGCCTTCAATAAGGCTGTAAAGGGCATACTAAGCAACCTGGCTAGCTGACTACTGTATGGTTTGGAAAATAACCCTGTTGCACCAGTAGAGGGCGACATGTAGTATGTTTGAACAAGTTCTGTCCTCAGTTACTCCCAGAGGTGTAAAGAGTACCTAACCATACTGGAGTACAAGTACAGATACCTTACAGAGAAAATTACTCCACTACACGTTACAATTCACCAATTCCAAAACAACTTGAGTAAAAGTCTTAGAGTATCTGATTTTAAGAGTACTTAAGTATTTTACTTATACTAAATATAGGCTCAAAGATGCACTAGTCAAAGAGACATGCCAGTGAAAAACTGTAACGTTGTGGAGAAGCTGCAGAAAACAGGGAGAGGCAAGGATCTATGTGCTGGTACTTCATGGAAAAACTAGAACAAACAATAAGGCAGTGATGTTATGTTCTGTGCCGTGGCATCAGAGCGTGTGTCAAGAAATCCCGGCAGCTTTCAGTGAAGCGCGTATCGAGGCTTGTATTGCTTTAGAGCAATGACGTAATTGATGACATCCAAAGCCTCGCTTAGCCAGACTGGTTCAGGAAGCGGTTCGAATCTTGTAAATTCAGTCCTCTGCCCTGTTAAACTCAGCCACTTTCCAGTTTTAGACTAATAATATTGGCCCTCCTGCCTATTATGAGCAAAGACTTGATTTACACACATTTGATAGCCCCATTCATTTCAAGCCAATACGTTTATTACACAGTTATGTTGTATTATGTTATACAATCATTATGAAATGCACATTATATTCATATAAATAGATGAGTCAATGTGGAAATAGATTTTTTCCCTTCGCCGTTATTTCTAAGCCTTAACTGGCACAAAGCCTTGAAAAGCTTCAATGCTTCATAAGGCTTCATCTCGCCATCACTACAATAAGGCAAAAACCAAAGGGAACAAAGAACATTCCATTGTAACACGCGGTGGTTAAGTGTTTTCAGTCACAAGATGGCGTCAGACAGTCAACGATAGCGGAGTGACTCGTTAAGCATATAAGTAGTACCGGTCAAGATAACTCCTAGTACCCGGATGAGCGGTGTGTTATTCAATTTGGCGGTTGTTATTTGGGAATAACATACCGCTGGATGGCGCGATTGACCAATCAGAATCAAGTATTCCACAGAGCCGTGTAATAAGTGACTATATCATCCACAATAAAGGCAGGTGTGCAAACACCGACTATAACATGCAAATACTCACTGTAAAATCTCAAGCTTCTCTTATATAATAGACACACCTATGAAAACAGCCAATAAACGAACGGAGGAAAGACGTCAGTAACAGTATCCTAATCTTTCTAACAGTCTTTTTCTAAAGGAGGATCGATTAAGATTGGTTTTGCCTTCTTGAGAAAACGTAACAACAGGATAGCTTTGAAAAAGCCTAACAGGCTTACGACCACAAATCATGAAATTAAAGCAAAATACACAGGCTTATAAACAGGAAAAGAGTTTGTTCAATGTGCCACGTAGCAATGACGCAATACAGACACAATAAACAGCAGTAAATTAACTCGGGAAGAGGAAGTATACCAATGCATATCCTAGTCTCCACCTGTCTGTGTTTTTACATGTCTTAGATGAGTGCCTCATGTGCCAGTAAAGTCAATAGTGTGTTTTGAAGATTCAAGGTGTGTCTTGCATCTATGCAGGTGTGGCTGCAGACAGGTTTAAATGTGCCGAGAGGAATGTTGGCTCAAGTATGAAAGTAATGCACACGTTCTGGTGTTAAAGCAGTCAACTAAAGCAAAGCTGAGTGATCAAAGAGCGATAAAGTTCATTTAAAGCCTAGTAACAGTGTCACTGTCAAAGCCGGTTGATCATTTAAATGTTTGCTAGCGTTCATACTTTCACTTATCACTTTATCATTTTTTATTAATATTTAATATAATTAAAGGTGACGTATATAATTTCTATGCCACTACTGTTACTCAACAAAACCGCAAAAATAATGATTTGAAAATAACGAGCTTCCAACCTCAACGAGACACATAAGTCAATTCCCTGCTAAATAGGTTGTTAGAAATAGTGCTACCCTGAACTCACGCTATTGGTTAATTCAGTAGCAGACATGTTGGACCACTCAAACAAACAGAGCAATGTTTTGAAAGCTTATTTACAATTTGTCTCTACACAGTAAACTCCGGAAGGAAGTATTTTGATATTGGCGAAAACACATCACGTTAACGCATTCTGCTGTGTTAACTCCCGCTGATGGGTACACCTTTAACAAATAAGCACTAATACAAAAACCACTGATTGTTATTAAAATATAGGGCTGTGTGTAGCGTTTCAGGGTGTGTTGCGTTTATACACAGACATCTGACACTCACCGCAGCGGTCTCTAATGACCAGTCCACGGCCCTCCTTCAGGCATATAGTGAGCAGGTACGTTCTCTGAGCTTCCCTCTGATGCTCATTTACTCCAGCTGTTTCTGTCTTCATGTCCAGAATCTGACAAAAAAAAAAATAATGTTTTTTACGAGTCATATCTGGATAGTGTGACATGACATGTCAAGCAGAGACAGCAGCAATTTTGTCATTTAGGAACTCATATTAATTGATCAATTTAGGGAACTGAAAAAACATAAATGGTCATTAAAAATAGTGAACAAATATAGAAGTGGTGACTAGTTACACCATCTCAAATATACACTTTCTTTATATAGTACTACTCACATGTAGCTTTACCCCCTTACTTCTTTTTTTACTACTTTCTCCCATTGACTAACACTAATGGTATTATTATTCATTATTCACAATCGAATTGCTAAAAAGTCAGTGTGTTATTTGCATATGAATTCCGATTGATTTTTTTCTTACTCTACCATACAAAAGTTTGGGGTCAGTAAAATATATTTTGATTTTTGAAAGTCTCTTATGCTCACCGAGGCTGCATTAATTTGATGAAAAAAACAAAAAGGGAGATCATGAGGCAACCATAAGATTTTTCAGACCACATTGCTAAAACTATCCGGTCCTGCAGATGTGCTTTATACAACATTAGGAAGATCAGGCCCTTTCTTTCAGAACATGCAACACAACTCCTTGTTCAAGCTCTTGTTCTGTCCAGGCTAGACTATTGCAACGCTCTCTTGGCAGGTCTTCCAGCCCCTTCTATCAAACCTTTACAATTAATACAGAAGGTGGCTGCAAGATTAGTCTTTAACGAGCCGAAAATAATGCACGTCACACCTCTGTTCATCAATTTGCACTGGCTACCAATAGCTGCTCGCATTAAATTCAAGGAATTAATGTTTGCCTACAAAACCACCACTGGCTCTGCACATCTAAATTCATTACTTCAGACTTATGTGCCCTCTAGAAGCTTGCGTTCTGCAAGTGAAGGGCGCAATATTGTTCCATCCTTGCCACATAGGGAGAATTACCAAGGTAAAATGCTGTTTTATGCAACTTTCACATGGTCAGGAAGCAAACCTTGAGCCTTCAATTTCAGCTTTGGAAAAAGAACACTATTACGCACAGTTTGGTCCATTTCAGGGACATTTAAAGTACAATGTCAGCTGCATAATATTCTACTAAACGTCCTCTGATATCATGTAATAGTAGACTTAAACACAACAAAATAACACACACACACACACCAAACATGCTAATACTTACATTATTGTGCTCACTGTCATGTATGGAGAACGTATCTGAACCATTTCTGTTAAAATGCGGCTTCTGTTTCCCAAACACAAACAAAACAAATGGAAGAGTGAAATACTTTTCTAGATATGATTAAAAAAAAGCTACTAATTCATGAATCAATGGTGTAAAGAAATTTCCTAATTTATCCAAAGTCAGTCTCTAGTAGTCAAAAAGTTATTTTGTATTGGTGACTTCTAATGTCATGGAACATATTTCTAGAATAACACTGAAGATCATCTTTCTTAAAAATTCCTTAGCCCCCGGGAGAATGAATGCTAAGCCACATAAACAAAGAACTTGAGGAATTAAAGTTTCCACTGCTAGGAAACCTCAAAAATGCATACATTACTTAAATGTAACACTCTTGTAAAATAGCTTATTCGAAAAGCTTTTAAAGATCATGTTCTTATAATAAAAACAAAGCACAGTGTAGGGTTTTTCTTCCTCACTGAAAATCCCAAGTTAATCTTTCAACATCAGGTGATTCTGTGTTTAAGGTATTACAAGCCAAATCACCTTGAAAAACGAGTAGCTGACTCACCCATAAAAGGCAAATATTCTTGCATACTTTCCAACATCCAAGCATCAAAAAATATGATAACTCTACTAAGATTAAAGAGAAAGATCACCAATGCAAAAGGAAGCCGCGTTACATAACTAGTAAACATCTACCTCCACCTGACCATGAAAGATCGCTGTTTGTGTGTTATTTTTGGTGCCATACAGTACCGTAAATGTAGCTTGACACTTCCCGGGTGCCCATTTGCATTTTAAACAAATGGAGAAGCACCAGTCTGCTCTAAATGTGTGTTACCACATTCTAGGGCTTTGAAATGTTATGACAAGTTCCTGCAGTGATGACTTGCTCGTGTTCAGAGGAACTGCATTTCACAATAGAGAGATGCTTTGCACTGTTCTCTGGAGGTGAGTAGGCAAAATAGAAGACGGTGAAAAACTGTGCATTGTCTAACTTGAATTAAAGATTTTTCATTTCAGTTAAAATCCTAACAGCATGCCAATGCAATGAAAGCTACCAGAAATGCATGCAATTGCAAACCATTTCAATAAAAAAAGCAAGTTTTCTGTGTGATCTTCATGAAATATGCAGTTGATAAAAATGAAAAGAACACAAGGAAGTACTAAGTTCACCAAAAGCATCAAATGCAAACAGGTTCGCGTAACACAATCTTGCTAGATGTTGCCCATAAAAAGCAGAAAAAGCAGTCACAGAAAACTTCCTCCCTCCTTTGATGATTAACCCAACTGAAGATCACTGGCACGTTTTACCTCAGCCAGGCTCTCTGATGAAGCAAGCTGTGTGTCCCTCAAACGCAGCACCTGATCCATCTCATCTGTGGATTTGGAGATGTTGTGCTCCTCACACGGGGCATCAGTGACTGACTCCTGCGACGGCCAGCCAGTCGAGTCCAGCGAATCGACGAGGCCGGTGCCGCCCCCTTTCTTTCGCAGACTCACGCTGACGGGGGTGGTTGGGCTACTGTTGCAAGCCGAGGACGTCCTGAGGTCAGCTAGCTGCTGGTGGGCGGAGCGTTTTAGGGAGGACGTCCGACTCCTCTGCAGGACGTCCAACATAGACGTGTTCATCCGCTGGTCCAACAAGCGCTCTTCCCTCACCTCTGGCTTGTTGGGGTTTTTGTCGCTGCCAACCCGCGAGTATCGGAAGAGTTTGGCTTTTTGCCGCAAACTGCCAATCATGGACTTTTTGTCCTCCATGAGAAGAGCGTTGGAGTGTGTGTTTAGGTGGATTTCTTAAAGTTGGTCGCAAAGGCCTCTCTCTCACACACTAGAGCTGGCTTGTGACCAAGACCTGCAAGGACAATACGAGAAAGTAAATTAAACACAAAAATGTCACAAAACTGACCCTATTTACTTTCACAGCACATGCTCCTGGTCTTAAAGGTCCCATATTGTACACCTTTTCTGGAGTTTTATTTTAGGTTTTGATGTCCTTAAGAATATATTTTTGCGGTATAAGTACCAAAAACCATCTCAATATATTTTTACAGCTCCTTTCTCGGGAGCTCTGCTGACAACAGGTCGATTTTGGCGTACAAACATTTCATGAAGTCTCTCAATTAATACAAACATACAGCGTTTAATTAAAGCTGCATGCATAATAAACATACAGTAATTTAAAATATTTGCATAGTATACATAAATACTGTATATGTGACCACAAAACCAGTCATAAGGGTACATTTTTCCAAATTGAGATTTATACATCATCTGAAAGCTGAATAAAAAAGCTTTCCATTTATGTATGGTTGGTTATGATAGGACAATATTTGGCAGAGATACAACGGTATTTGAAAATCTGGAATCTGAGGGTGCAAAAAAAAAATCGAAATATTGAGAAAATCGCCTTTAAAGTTGTCCAAATGAAGTTCTTAGCAATGCATATTACTAATCAAAAATTAAGTTAATATATTTACAGTAGGAAATTTACAAAATATCTTCATGGAACATGATCTTTACTTTAATAATTTTGACCCATACAATGTATTTTTGGCTATTGCTACAAATATACCCCAGCGACTTAAGACTGGTTTTGACCATATGGTTAAGACATACAGGTGCATCTCAATAAATTAGAATGTTGTGAAAAAGCTAATTTAATTCAACTCAAATTGTGAAACTCGTGTATTAAATAAATTCAATGCACACAGACTGAAGTAGTTTAAGTCTTTGGTTCTTTTAATTGTGATGATTTTGTCTCACATTTAACAAAAACCCACCAATTCACTATCTCAACAAATTAGAATATGGTGACATGCCAATCAGCTAATCAACTCAAAACACCTGCAAAGGTTTCCTGAGTCTTCAAAATAGTCTCTCAGTTTAGTTCACTAGGCTACACAATCATGGGGAAGACTGCTGATCTGACAGTTGTCCAGAAGACAATCATTGACACCCTTCACAAGGAGGGTAAGCCACAAACATTCATTGCCAAAGAAGCTGGCTGTTCACAGAGTGCTGTATCCAAGCATGTTAACAGAAAGTTGAGTGGAAGGAAAAAGTGTGGAAGAAAAAGATGCACAACCAACCAAGAGAACCAAGAATTTGAGTGAACTTCACAAGGAATGGACTGAGGCTGGGGTCAAGGCATCAAGAGCCACCACACACAGACATGTCAAGGAATTTGGCTACAGTTGTCATATTCCTCTTGTTAAGCCACTCCTGAACCACAGACAACGTCAGAGGCATCTTACCTGGGCTAAGGAGAAGAACTGGACTGTGGTCCAAAGTCCTCTTTTCAGATGAGAGCAAGTTTTGTATTTCATTTGGAAACCAAGGTCCTAGAGTCTGGAGGAAGGGTGGAGAAGCTCATAGCCCAAGTTGCTTGAAGTCCAGTGTTAAGTTTCCACAGTCTGTGATGATTTGGGGTGCAATGTCATCTGCTGGTGTTGGTCCATTGTGTTTTTTGAAAACCAAAGTCACTGCACCCGTTTACCAAGAAATTTTGGAGCACTTCATGCTTCCTTCTGCTGACCAGCTTTTTGAAGATGCTGATTTCATTTTCCAGCAGGATTTGGCACCTGCCCACACTGCCAAAAGCACCAAAAGTTGGTTAAATGACCATGGTGTTGGTGTGCTTGACTGGCCAGCAAACTCACCAGACCTGAGATAGTGAATTGGTGGGTTTTTGTTAAATGTGAGCCAAAATCATCACAATTAAAAGACCCAAAGACTTAAACTACTTCAGTCTGTGTGCACTGAATTTATTTAATACACTTTGAGTTGAATTACTGAAATAAATGAACTTTTCCATGACATTCTAATTTATTGAGATGCACCTGTATATCTTGAGACAATTATGTTTTGTTAGAGGTGCTGGGAAGCCTATCCTAAAATAATGTAGCAGATATGTTAATCATCTATAAGTGACTAAACATTTGCTGTGCCTATATATTGATTTTTTTCAGTTTCTTTTTCAGCTGAGGAGAGAACAATCAATTAAGAACGTACATGTTTGAGATTTCCATAAATCTGCACAATGATTCATGGCCCATACTGTCAGCTCAGACCTGATTTCTCTAAAGTCATCTTTCATTTGTTTTAAACAGGCCTAACATGTTGTGGGTGTAATTCAAGCCACAAGCTCATCCCTCTGCCTCCCTTTGTGTGGAAGCATAATTTGACTTTACAGCTACACATCAGGGTTTTTTCACACATCAGTGATAATGGAAAAGAGACACAGGTGACACAGGTGTTTGCTAAGGCAAGCATCACTATTATTATTGCTCATACTTATAGGGTTAGGGATATAAACAAACCTGACCCAATGAAGAATTAAACTTCAGAGCGGACATGAATGATGCAAATGATGATCAACTGAGATGCTATTGTGTCATCTGCGTCACAAATGCGTCACCTGGCAAATGATGACAGAAAGACTTGGGATGGGCTTTTTTGACTTTGATTTTGGTTTGTAGGTAGGCACCCAGAACACACTATAACCACCTTCAGCAGCAATGCTTGTAGTCGAAGAAGAGAAGAAAAAAAATAGCATACCAGAATATTTCAAATGCACAAACACTCTGGAACTAGAGAGTATAGCATGTTGAAAACTAATCCTTTAAGCTGCACTTATCAAAATAGGCCAAATGTGTGTTGTGTGTGAGTCATAAAAAGCAATGTCTAGATTTATTGAGATGACGAGCTTTGCCAACCAAGTACAGCAATTTAATCATTAAGATTATTTTTTATTATTGTTACTACTATTACAGTTGCTACACAGTACAGCCTATATACAGTATATATATATATATATATAATCTTACTGACCCCAAACATTAGATAGATAGATAGATAGATAGATAGATAGATAGATAGATAGATAGATAGATAGATAGATAGATAATATCTATCTATCGATCTATCGATTGGGGTCAGTAAGATTTTTTCTCCAAAAAGAATTACTGTTATTCAGCAAGGACAAGTTCAATGGATCAAAAGTGACAGTAAAGACATTGACATAAAAAATCTATTTTGGTTTGTAGGTAGGCACCCAGAACACACTATAACCGCCTTCAGCAGCAATGCTTGTAGTCGAAGAAGAGAAGAAAAAAATAGCATACCAGAATATTTCAAATGCACAAACACTCTGGAACTAGAGAGTATAACATGTTGAAAACTAATCCTTTAAGCTGCACTTATCAAAATAGGCCAAATGTGTGTTGTGTGTGAGTCATAAAAAGCAATGTCTAGATTTATTGAGATGACGAGCTTTGCCAACCAAGTACAGCAATTTAATCATTAAAGATATTTTTTTATTATTATTACTACTATTACAGTTGCTACACAGTACAGCCTATATACAGTATATATATATATATATATAATCTTACTGACCCCAAACATTAGATAGATAGATAGATAGATAGATAGATAGATAGATAGATAGATAGATAGATAGATAGATAATATCTATCTATCGATCAAATGTTTGGGGTCAGTAAGATTTTTTCTCCAAAAAGAATTACTGTTATTCAGCAAGGACAAGTTCAATGGATCAAAAGTGACAGTAAAGACATTGACATAAAAAATCTATTTGAAATAAATGCCGTTCTACTGTTTTAGATAGATAGATAGATAGATAGATAGATAGATAGATAGATAGATAATATCTATCTATCGATCAAATGTTTGGGGTCAGTAAGATTTTTTCTCCAAAAATAATTACTGTTATTCAGCAAGGACAAGTTCAATTGATCAAAAGTGACAGTAAAGACATTGACATAAAAAATCTATTTGAAATAAATGCCGTTCTACTGTTTTTTTTTCTATTCATCGAAGAATACTAAAAAGAATGTATCATGGTTTTCAAGGTTTCCAACATCAATAATAATAATAAACGTTTCTTAAATCACCAAATGAATGATTTCTGAAGGATCATGTGACACTGAAGACTGGAGTAATGGCATATATGTAGTGTAGTAGTGTGTAGGTATATATAAATCCTTTCTAAAAAGCAATAGCTGCATAATCCTCTTATGGGTTTAAATACTGTGAACATGAACTTAAGATTTAAAGATTCGGGATATTATGCTTACATGCCGAGTATCCTCAAAATCTGTCTCACTTTTGCGACACTAGAAATTTTTACAAAAACTTGACCTGTCTGCGACGCATCTCCCACTTACAGCCATGGACTGGATTACAGCCAGCTAACAAGTTTGAGGAAATGGCTAGGCAAATATCACAGTGGTGGCTTTTGAGAAACACCACAGATAATTCTTGGTCTGTGTCAAAATTACTTTTAGATTAACATACAAGACAGCAAGTTTCGAATCTGTCTTGCACAGTATGTTATCCTGAAGTGTAAACTATACTGATAATTTGAGATGACACTTTGAGGAACTATCAATATTTTACTTTTACAACTATAACTATAGTTCAGTAACTACGATATTTTACAATCAAATTTCTGAAAATACCCAATATTGCAAAAGTTTATTTACATCAGATTTCATGAACACTTTCACTTTGACGTTAATGATAACATAACTTCAAATGCAATCTCTTGGTCAAAGGCTAATTCTGAGAAATCAGTGTTTAAAAATCCTAAAGGTTGGATTACACTGAAAAACATTTCAAATATGGCAACCAATAAAAGACGATCTGTGGCTATACTGATATCCAGCACAATAGACACACCGACATCAGCTAAATTAGGCGTGAGATACAACCACTTACTCAAACTGCATATAATCATTAACTTTTAAGTCAATAAAGCTGGTCAAAAAGTTGGGTTTGAGTTAACCGTTAAGGTGGTGTGGTCCAAATGGCATCCATGCGGCTTTTATAATGCTTTAAACACACTTCCTATGTTTGATCCATTGGCCATCAGTATTATCACTTCACTGACTTGTACAGTCCCAGCAGTACAATGAGTCTAGAGCCACATACAGCTGTCAGAGCAATGCTATATGATATTTACAATCCATCTGTGCACACCTGAGTTTGTCTAGTTTCCTCCATATATGGTTGCTATGTCTAGATACTAAAGATAACATAAAGCAAAAGAAATCCTAGGGATGCACTGTGCATTTTCAAATATAGCCCAGAATATCTGCTTGTCTATCCATCCATCTGGTTCCCACACATTCTGACCAATGCATTTTCATGGGAACCTGTTCTAGTGCTCTGTAAAAGGAAGGTAATGTAAGAGAATTCCAAGCACAAGAAAATATTTTGAGCTTTTTAAACTCACAAAGGAATGCCTCAACACAATATTATTTTTTCCTACTGAAGACAAACTAACAAAGGATTATTACACATTGTCCCTCCCACAACACAAACAATGAAACAACATTCACTTCCACAAAGAAGGATCTAATACTGTCTGCAAAGTGACAACTGAAAATGCGAAGAATGCAGCAGTTATGAAACAAGCAGATGCATTATGCTGGATCATATCTGTCTGTCCTAATATTTTCACAATATGGAAGGAGTGTCAACAAAATAAAGAAGGCTACACAAAAATCGCAAGACACATTGGAAATGAAAATGAATTAACAGCAATCAAATGCATGCACATTCACTTGTGGGACAGTCCCAACAGGTAGATGATTCAACATTGAAACATTTCGTCTTCATTTATTTGAATATATATAGACATTCATTTGAATAAATCACTGTAACAGAAGTATTCCTACCTGAGCTCAGGGTTTAATCCATTTCCTTTAAACCAAAGACGTTTTGGATCAAAGAGAAAACATCTCATGTGTTCACAGCAGTGCTTGCACTAACTTGCTCCTCTAGTACGAGTGACTTGAGTAATACAGCAAGACTTCACTGATGAGCTACCGAAATACAACAAGTGAGCAGAAAAGCGATTAGCATGATTCATGACTAGATATTACTGGCCCGGAAGCTGTCCATAATTGGTCAGGTAAGCTGGGTCTAAAAAATAGATGTTTATTTAAATATGAATTGTGCATTTAATCGATACTAACGGTCCTCAGTGTCATTATTTACGTTTTACATTTAATGTCTATATACCGCTGCTAGACTATTACGCGAACAGCGCTCTCACGTGACATATGTTACTTTCCTCAGCGCTGGGAAGGATGGACCAATCACCGATGCTTGCGATAACTAGCGAAATCGTTTTATAACGATTGACGGAATGCGTTTTCATTTGTGAAACAAGTAAGAATTGAAACCAAAATTGAAACGATTATACTTTTTAGTGTATAAACGGCTCGAGAAAAGATAAAAATGCTACTGAGATTTGAATGGGGCTCAATGGAGAATCCTGCGTTCTGAGCCACCAAGCGCCCCCTGGAGAAACACACTCACTGTCCCATGAGAAGTTGTTGTTTGTCGCCCAACGGGGTCGTTCTTTAAAACAAGGCTGCTGTAATCTGTCAATCACATGGATCAGATTGTGATAGAGTTTCTCATAACAGTCCGGATGCTATAATTCTTTTCCAGTTGTGACTGAGATAACGTTATCATTAACTGGGATATAAACAAACTCTTTGCATGTTTTCTTTCCGCTGTGCATGAAATCTGTCTTTGACGTTATGAGAATGACAAATATGCTCAAATTCAGTCTGCAACCGAAAACGGTCTCAAGTGAGGCTACATAGGCTACTGAAGGAATAAATGCAGTTTAGTTTGTTTTGATGCACTAATAATTCATAGTATCTAGGGGTGCTGTCACCTAATGGTTAAAAAAGATCAAGTAACTGTAAAGTTGCAGTGATTATATCATTGTGTTACATATCATCATATTTTGGGGCACCCCAGGTTGATCAGATGCCTCTTGAATCAGCTAAATATGTTTTACTCTTATCTTTGCATCTACTGATGCAAGAGTGCTGAATGACTTTCAAATGTAACTCAAAGCATTATGCTACACTCTTGCAGAAATGAATCGACAAGCATAATGCAAAGAGTATTGATCACTCAAGAAAATCCCTTTGACTACATTTAAAACTAGTGAAGTTATGGTTTTCAACACGACTTTCAAGTAGTGTTCAGTGCAAAAAAACAAAAACAGAAACGGTGGGAACAATGTCAACACTGCACGCTTCTGCAGTGATGAGGAAAAAACCTCAAACATGATCAAAGAATTCACATCCTGTTAAATACCATAAACAGCCTTCTGCAGACGTGAATGACCTAGTTGATTATTATATAGATGAAACCTTATATATCTCTAAAGCAGTTAAACCACACACAGCAACAGAAGTGAGTAATATGTTTATTGCCATTTATCAAGGTGTACAAACAATAAAGGGGTCAGCTTGATTTGAGAACAAACTGAGACAACTAACAGAGTTCCATAGATTGCATTGGCATCGGTGAAAAATGATTTTATATGTCATGAAGGAAGATTTTGAGGACATTGGCCTAACAAACACACTGTGTCAGTAAAGAGGAACAGCTGTCAAATAAAACCTGGTATTAGCAGCAAAATACCTAAGCGTCTCTTTGGAGACAGTGATTTTAATGTTCACAAAACAACTAGTAAATGGTTATAAAGCTCGACTGTTCCCATCACATTCAGCAGAATCAGAATAAAAACACTATAAAAGACATTTTAATATTTTATATATTTTTAAAATGCTTGTGATATCAGGTATTTTAAAGTAACAGTATATACATTGTATAAATTATATTAAACACCTAATTCACAAATTATTTGTGAATGACATGTTTATAGTGTGTTCTCTTATAGAGGGATTGTGGTTTTAAGAACAAAAGTAAAATGTATGATTAGCTCATTTTATCACCCACAAAGGCGTTGCTAGGTGGTTACATTAATAAATTTAATTAATCAACCATTTTTGGGCCATTTTATCATCTGTTCTCCACAAACCTTGAAAGAACTGGAATTGTCATTTGGCTGCCAGTTGATAATTGAAATGCAGATACCTGAGGTTCATCTAAAACTTGACAGACAAGTAAGCACTCCATGGAAAATTTTTAAGAATTTTGATTACTAGGGCATCAAACTCTGCATACACTAAACTACAGCAAATATTAAATCCCTATCAATATTTATATGACTTTGATTGAGGACTCGAATAAAAAATACAAAAGATAAAATAACACATTTGGCTTGCAAAAAATAATATACTGCAAATAATGCAGCAAAGCTAACCCTCTATTGACAAAACAGTGTCATACACTTCATAGCTTAGGTTTTTAACAATATCAAAAAATCCTATAACAGTACAAACAACAAAACGCACTCATTTACAATAACGGTCTTTGTATTTCCCTTTCAGAGACACCTCTTCACACTTCTAAAGCAGTGCTTTGTGTTTGTTGCACAACAGCAGTGTGCATATCTGAAATGTGACTTTAGACATACTAAGTTAGTCTGTGCGCATGCGCTTGACTGAGGGATCTTCCTGGCTCTCTGTCTCTGGTGATGATCTTTGTCCTGATGTAGCGGTGCCTGGGTGAGAGTCCAGCCGCTGGTCCTCACGGTCGCTACCTTCATATGAACTGCCAGAAGAACTGAAGCTCTCAGCAGGAGAGCGGCCCACTTCTTTTCCAGAGCTGGGCCAAGGTCTGGTGTAGATAGTGGGGTACAGCGAGTGACCGACACACTCTCTGGAAGGGGAGATGGGCTCTGATTTGATGCTGATGGAGTCAGAAGCCTGAATTTGAGGTTGTGTGGTTCTGGAGAGAACAAAGATGGTTATTAGTATGCTATTTACAAAAATGTGAAAAAATTTGGGGTCAGTAAGATTTTTGATTTTTTTAAAGAAATTAATACTTTTATTTAGCCAAGATGCAATACACTGATCAAAGGTTAAAATAAAGACACTTATTATGCTACAAAATATTTCAATTGCTTTTCTTTTGAACTTTCTATTTATCAAATAATTCAGTTTCCACAAAAATAGTATGCAGAACAACTGTTTTCAACACTGATAATAATAATAAATGTTTCTTGAGCAGCAAATCAGCATATTAGAATGATTTCTGAAGAATAATGTGACACTGAAGTCTGGAGTAATGATGCTGAAAATTCAGCTTTGCACCACATAAATAAATTACATTTTAAAATGTATTACAATAGAAAACAGTTAGTTAAAATTTTTATAATATTTCAAAGTATTAAAATTTTACTGTATTTTTGATCAAATAAATGCAGCCTTGATGAGCATAAGAGACTTCCAAAAAATGCCCCCCAAAAATTGCAACAATCCTAAACCTGTATGTCTTGAAGTCAACATTGAATCAAAATTGATATCATATTTTGAACACATATTACTGGTCTGATTGTACATGATTCATAAATAATAAAATGTTAACAAAAATAATAAATGTAACTGCCCCTCTGAAACAACCTTCTCATTTTGTTCTCACAAACAACTGTGGGGGGAAAAAGTTAAAGGGTTTGTGAATGCAGTTGTGCATTTATAGTTGTGCTAGACCCTTTTGAACCAAAAAAAAAAACACTCTCAAACTGGTATGACGTTTAGCTGGACCCTTGACCAGTATGTACCAGGAATTGATTCCACTTTTGAACTTTTCTTTCAGCAGATGTAATGTAAAGTGTATGAAGTACATTTCAAATTAGGTATAATATCTTTCTGTGGTTTAACAATTTAACACTAATAGGTGAATGAAGGAAATGCATGCCACAATCCCACATCCTCACCTCTGGGCACTGAAGCCTGGCTGACCATGATGACTGTGTTTCCATGAAGACCCTGCTCCTGATGTGACAGCATCTGGTGAACTGAAGCTATGTAAAGAACTGGGCTCTGTACTGCTCAAGGCAAAATCTGTAAAAAAAATGAAAAAGTTAAATAGTAGAATAGTCTTTCACCAGTGTCATGAGGTCCAGAATCAAATAGTATTATATGATGTATTATGTACAGGTCAATTATATACCTGTAGTGAAAGATGATGTCATGGCTGAGTACACAAGGCCCTGGGGATGTAGACTGGGGGTTGCCATGGATACCACGGGTGTGTTCAGTGATTGGCTGAACTGAGAGTTGTCTATTCTCTAAGGTTTAAATAAACAATGAACATGGTGCAAACAACAGTGGTTGATTTGTGTGGAGCAAAACAGATAACAGTAAAATTATATGCTCCCTATTCATTCATTTTCATATTTTACTCAAAAATGAAATCCTTTGAATATTTGATATTAACCACCATCGATGTTGGTATATCATACTGCACTGTCACATTAAGCAGACTAACATAAATCCCTTTGCAAAAAAGTGCCACTAATCAGCTAACATACACAACAACAAATTTGGGCAACTTCAACCACACTTAAAATGACTAAATGACACTATATTAAATGAAAAACAAAACAAAACAAAATAATAAAATAAAATAAACATAATGGAATAGAATAGAACACAAAACAAAATAAAACAAATAGCAAATAAAAAACTAAACTAAACTAAATTAAATAAAAGAACAGAACAAAAACAAAACAAAAAACACAACAGAACAGACCAGAAAAAAGCAAAAGAAAAAAAACGAGAAAACATAACAGAACACAACTAAATAAAATAAAAGAACAGAACGGCAGAAAACAAAACAAAACAAAACAGATCAAAGCAAAACAAAAAGAAAAGAAAAGAAAAGAACAGAACAGAACGGCAAAAAACTAAACAAAAAACAGAACAAAGCAATATACATATCTCTTAATTGTCTAAATAATCTTTGGGACTATGTTTTCAGTTAATATTATATAGTTTTGAGTTAACCATAAACAGAGCAGTTTATGAAGGTTTCAGTGTAAGCTTTGATTGTGATGTTTCACTGAACCACTAGATGGCCTCATATCCTCTAACTGTTAAACATTAGCTAGCTGTATCACAGCCGATTTTCTTACATTTTTTATGACCTAGTTAATGAGTCATTTTTTAAAAGCTTTTCTGAATAAAACTTTATCAAATTGCCCTTACCAAATGTTCCTCTCCTTCCTCTGGCGGCTTGCAAGAAATAGATTTAAGGAAGGACAGTTTCAGACAGGTCAATACTTTCTCATTGTCTAATGATTTCAGGATGTTTCATTGACATATTACAGATCTGTAGCTGATGGCAGACAAAAGAAACTCTCACCAGTGAAGAAGCAGTGCCCTTGCACACAGGAGGAATGAGCACTCTGAGATCAGGTTTGCGGCCCGATGTAGACGACGCTTGAGATTTTGCAGAAACGACTCTTCCCATACTGTTTCCTTCTGAACTGCCAACAAAGCCATTAGCTAAATGAGGCACAGCAAAAAGGGATATTAATAAAATTTGGCTGAGGTATACAGGTGCATCTCAATAAATTAGAATGTCATGGAAAAGTTCATTTATTTCAGTAATTCAACTCAAATTGTGAAACTCGTGTATTAAATAAATTCAGTGCACACAGACTGAAGTAGTTTAAGTCTTTGGTTCTTTTAATTGGGATGATTTTGGCTCACATTTAACAAAAATCCACCAATTCACTATCTCAACAAATTAGAATATTGTGACATGCCAATCAGCTAATCAACTCAAAACACCTGCAAAGGTTTCCTGAGCCTTCAAAATGGTCTCTCAGTTTGGTTCACTAGGCTACACAATCATGGGGAAGACTGCTGATCTGACTGCCACTGTCAAAGAAACCTGGGCTTCCATACCACCTCAGCAGTGCCACAAACTGATCACCTCCATGCCACGCCGAATTGAGGCAGTAATTAAAGCAAAAGGAGCCCCTACCAAGTATTGAGTACATGTACAGTAAATGAACATACTTTCCAGAAGGCCAACAATTCACTAAAAATGTTTTTTTATTGGTCTTATGAAGTATTCTAATTTGTTGAGATAGTGAATTGGTGGGTTTTTGTTAAATGTGAGCCAAAATCATCACAGTTAAAATAACCAAAGACTTAAACTACTTCAGTCTGTGTGCATTTAATTTATTTAATACACGAGTTTCACAATTTGAGTTGAATTACTGAAATAAATTAACTTTTCCATGACATTCTAATTTATTGAGATGCACCTGTAGATTAAAACTGTGCACTGGTGTTGTCAAAAACGTAAACCTTGGGTGGGCAGGATCAATGATGACAAAATCGATCTTTGCTATCACTTCAAATTATCAATTTAATGTGTCCTTAGACTCCTTACTAAAGAATAATATAAAATAAAAAAAATTCAACAAAAAAAAAACTGACCCCAAACTTTTAAATGGCAGTGTATTTAATTTTCATTTAGTCATTTTTTGTCAATTATATACAATTTCATTTGAATATAATTTCTGACTTTAAACCATTTAAACACATTCTCAGTTTTTAACTGAGAAACATCTAAATTATTTTCTATAGTAAACGACAGCATATAGGCCTACAGAGCTTAAAGAGAAGTGAAGCTCTATATCTTTATAAGATACAGAGCTTCACTTGTCTTTAACCAGGAGCATTTCATTAACAGACAAATCAGAAATGCAGAAAAGACTAGTGAGGAATAAAAAGATCAGTTTGTCCTGCATGAAGTCGTGACCTCACATCCCGCCCACACCAATCAACATCAAGGATTAACACACAAAGACATATTGTATAAACACACATACAGGATCTGCCACATTCTCATCTACTTTCATTTATATGCAACATAAATAATTGCAGTATAGTGAAAACTGATGGCTTCATGCCCAAAATACAGTAAATTATATACACATCCAGCTCTTTAAAAACATTCACTTTCACATTGTGAATGGTTTGTAATCTGATCTCTCATGTAAGTAGAACTGCACAGCATGCAGGGAAGTAAATCACGTTTAATGTTTGTTCTTTAAACAGACTGATACCTTAGAGAAACTTAATCATTACATTTGGGCACATTGTATAAGTTAACCAAAAAAGGAAGTACCTACCCACATGACTGGAGTGTACACCGTTTGGAAGAGTGATGTCTGAGAAACCTGGCATGCCATCTGAACATATGAAAATGAAACTTCATATGACTGATAAAAGTGACACTTCACCCAAAAATGAAAATTCTGTCATCATTTACTCACCTTCAAGTTGTTTCAAACCTGAATTCATTTCTTTCAGATGTTGGACACAAAATAAGATATTTTGAAGAATGTTGGTAACCAAACAGTTGACGGTAGCCACTGACTTCCATAGTAGGGAAAAAAATACCATGGAAGTCAATGGCTACCATCAACCAACATTCTTCAAAATATCTTATTTTGTGTCCAGGAACGAAAGCTAATTTTTACAGGTTTGCAACAACTGGATGTATGACTGATTTGACGGAACCAAAGCAATGGCAATGCTATAATATTTTGATACCAGGGAAAGGAACGATTAGCATATCAACCATAGGGTGACCATACGTGCCATTTTTCCCAGACGCGTCCTGGCCAGGATTTCTATATTGCCTAAAATATCTAGGTTTTGGCTTTGTTTGCGTGTGTACATCGGTGTATGACATCAAAGTACCATACAGACGGTTCCTTATGCTTTCAAAACGCTCTCGAGGTACGTTGATGTCAAGCACTGATCGGTCTGACCCGCACTGCTTTTAAGTCACACATCCTATGTACGCGTAATTGCATCGCTTTGACCGTAAATCCCACCTTCTCACACACACCATGATTGGTCCATTATGTACAATGCCTGCATGTTATTGGTCAAACTACTTTTCGATCATTACCTTCAGCAAGCATGAAAACAGGAAAACAAAGCCAAAACAAATTCTGGCAAGGACGCATCCGGGAAAAATGGCACGTATGGTCACCCTAATCAACCACTGTATTTACATGGAATTCCAAGCTACTTCAAAACATAACATGAAATTACTATTGTACAGCACACATTATCATGTATCATGTCCGGGAAGCCACATCATGATGGTATCGCATTCAAAAATGATGGTAATGTGCAGTAGATACTGACCCATGACAGCAGTGCTGTTGTTGCTCTGGTGGCTGTTGGAGGACAGAGACAGCATGTTCGTCCCGCTGAGGGACACTGGGGTGTCCAGAGAGCTGTCTGTGCTGTAGGACAGCGTGGTGGGGTTGGTGACGGGCAAAGTCAGAGGTATCGAATAACTCTGCTGACCCAGAGCAGCCGGCTGATGAAGATAAAGAAGAAGATGTGAGAGAGATGTGAAGGGATAAATTAGATTAGTAGCAGTGCTGGGTAGATTACTTACAAATCGTAGTGCGTTACTGATTACAAATTACATTACAAAAACTGTAGCAAGTAACTTAATCTGGATTACACATATTAGGTAATGCAGTCTGACTACTTTTTGATTACTTTTGACCCAACTTGTTTGCCACTAAGACTTAAAAAAAAAAAAATCAATAAAAGAAAATATATTTAATTTTTGGTTAACAATATCAATAAAAGCATTGAACATTATATTACAGCAGGGTATCCCAAACTAGGGTTTGTGAAAAAAAAAAAACTGTAGGGTGTTAATGAAAAGCTAATAATTAATGAAATCATAAAAATGTCAAAACCTTGGGAATCACTCACTACATTAAATGAACAAACATTAATGATATTACATGGACAAAGTCTTCCAGGTTTGAAATATTTTTGTTCAGACTTCCAATATTAATAATTAGTAAAGGTCACTGGATATGATGAAGACATAATTTTTCACAGCTATGCTCATCAGTGTTTAGTTACTTTGCATAATTAGTCTCATGTATATAAGTGGTAGGTTCATACAGAAAAAATTATTTAAACGAAGAAAAAAAAAAATAGGGGCTGGGGTGAATCAATAAATTATGAATAATTTACTGCTATTGTGTGAATAATACGTAATCGTGTAATCCATAAAAAAGTAACTGCAATCTGATAATGAGAATTTTTAAAAATGTAATATAATCTAATTACAAGTACTTAATGTTTAGAATCTGATTACCTAATCCAGATTACATGTAACCAGTTACTACTCAGCACTGATTAGTAGTGGTCACCTGTGCAAATGCTAGAGTTCTGGATGGTTGCAAGGACGTGTTTTGGCTGTTTTTACAGTGTTGCTACCTACTGTAGGTGGGTACTGTACTGTGGTTGCTAGAGTGGTTGTAAAGGTGTTGCTATGTAGTTTCTAAGATGGTGTGTTGAGCACAAGGGAAGTGGGAAAAAAGAGAGAAAAAAACATTTTCCTATCCCTAAACTTTTGAACAGTAGTGTAGTCTAACAGGGATGCCAAGACGCAAAACATGCATCACACTGCTTACAAGTTTGTGATTTCTCATCATATTGTCAAACTCTTCATTAATCTTCTGATATTTCTCCTCCGTGTGAGGTGTGAGGACATATGAAGCTTCTGGATCTGGGCTGTCACAACCTCTTTGTTCCTTCTTGTTTAGCACCTGTAAGGAGCAGCAAAGAAGAACAGTATGATGGCATTAAAACTCTAACATTCACTATGATTTTCAATGTCTATTTGAAAAATATACAAATATAAGGCTAGTCTGATAGTAGTACAAAAATGCAAATTCTTCTTCTTTGAAAATACCTTTTACTATAAACGGATGGAGTGCACACTGCAGACGTAATATTGGAACAGCATCAAATGAGCATGATATATAAGAGAGTAACTATAAACCAAATACAAAATATATTATTCAGCTACACTGTATACTACCTTGATTTTTATTTTTTAAATAGGAAGTAAAAAAGTAGACACTATTATGTTTTATATTGTTGTCATGTGACCTCATCATATTGAATGTTTAATTTAACAGTTGCCATCCAGTTATGATCTCTTATCACACTGGAAATTAAAAAGGCAAGCTGAGTACATTGCATTATGGGATGCAATATTGCATACATTTAACTCAGTTATATACTGCTCATTTAGGCAAATGTCATCAATGTATTATATCCATACAGAATATTTTCCTACCTATTACTGAATATTACAGTCAGTGCCAAAGCAAAAGTTCAGGACAGTAGATTGAGGACCCTCTTGCAGCGGTTTAAGGGCCCTTATGAGAGTCAATGGAAATCAGAAGCCTATCTCATCCTCAGGCGTCTGTAATGCTGTAACTCTGTGCTTTAATGTTATAACTGGGCCTATGTCTGAGATAGAAGTTAAAGAGTTCAGCTAGGAGGTTCTGATTCTCTATTAATCTGGAAACAAATCTAAGCGCTAATCATATGGAAATCAAAACCAAAAAGATATGCAGTGAAGATTTTGACTAATGTGTCAGGATCTGCCCTACTCTAATCCTCATCATCGGCTCCAGGACGTCCAGGTTGAAGGAGTTAATGCAATTTATGACCAATTTCCTAGGTATAGTCATTCAGTAATCAATGCGAAATGGTCCGCTATGGTCGATCTCCAATAAAACACAAAAATTACACAATATTCTCTTACAAATCTCAACTAAATCTCTTCATAAACTGTAGAGGAGACACATACTGTATGAGATGCAGGAGGCTAAAGCAAAATTCTCCATTTAATCTCATTCCAATCTGTCTTGAGGAAGAGATTGCATTTAAATGTTTTCTTTGCAACTGGATATTTGCATTTCTCTTAAAGGAATAGTTCACCCAAAAATGAAAATAAACTGAAAATGTACTCACCCTCAGGCCATCCAATATGTAGAGCTTGTTTCTTCGTCTGAACAGATTTGGAGAAATGTACCATTGCATCACTTGCTCACCAGTGGATCCTCTGCAGTGAATGGGTGCCGTCAGAATGAGAGTCTAAACAGCTTATAAAAACATCACAATAATCCACAAATAATTCACACCACATCTTGTGAAGTGAAAAGCTGTGTTTTAAAGAAACTAATCCATCACTAAGTTATTTCAAACCACAGCAAACCGTTGTTTCTGGGCAAAATACCAGGGTTTATAATCCATAATAACGCTTCCTCCAATGACAAAAATCCATCCCCTGTTGTTCTCTTACATAAAACCCCACCAACATATTTGTTTAGAAGCTTTTTGGACTGTTTTCGCTTGTAACTTAATCTGTGCATATTTCTCTCCTGATTTAGACGAGACATCTTTTTCACTGGAGAAAGCAATATTATAGATTATTGACTCGTAGTTTTGCTGGAAGCACTGGTTTAAAGTTGAAGATGTCTTAACAGTGGATTTGTTTCTTGCAAACACACAGCTTTCCACTTCACACAATGTTAATCGATGGACTGGAGCGGTGTGGATTACTTGTGGATTATTGTGATGTTTTATCAGCTGTTTGGACTCTCATTCTGACGGCACCCATTCACTACAGAGCATCCATTAGTGAGCAAGTGATGGAATGCTACATTTCTCCAAATCTGTTCTGATGAAGAAACAAACTCATCTACATCTTGGATGGCCTGAGGGTGAGGACATTTTCAGCAAATTGTCATTTTTGGGTGAACTATTCCTATAACACTGAAGTATAATTATTTGTAACTTAGAGGCAGGTTTATTAATTTTCTTAGATAACCCTCCTTATCAATCTTTAAAATAATTTCTATTTGGATGCATATTATGTCTGAATATCAAATTAAAGTGGCAACTAAGCTCAAGGTTCCTATACGCTATATGGCATGCTAATATACTGTAAATCACAACCTCAGTAGTAAGTGTGTACGCTAATGTGAGACCAGCACACATAACTTTGATTCAGAAATGCATTTCTGGTACACGTAAGTGATTTGTGATTCATGGAGGCTAATGAGAGCAGCACTCGCCAAGAAAGCCACGTCCTTGACTGATAGTATCTCAGGTTTCCTCAGTATGAATGTTGGATAAGACTGGATCCTTATTTTTAGCTACAACCAATTAGCACCACTCACACAAAATCTGTTCACATGACTTCAGCACCAGCATTTAGCTACAGATAGCAAGACGCTGAACACGCATTCACTTTAAACCTGGTATCGCTACAGAAAGTCTCATTGCTTATTGCAAACAAATATTGTATTTTTGGTGAAAAGTTTTTTGTTTTTTTAGAACAAAATGTAACTCTGATTTGAACTTTTACATTTCGCAATTCTGAGATTTTATCTAAGTTTACATTTTGCAATTTTGACTTTGTTTCTAAGAATTCTGATTTTACATTTTGCAATTATGACTCTTTTTCTTCTCAGAATTCTGAGTTTATCTCACAATTCTGTTTTTTTTTTTTTTGTTGCTTCCGCTATGGAATACAAAATAATAAAAGGTAATTGCGACTTTTTATAGCACAATTCTGACTTTCTGACTCTCGCCAGACTTTTATTCTCAGAATTGCAAGGAAAAAAAGTCAGAATTACATTTTTTATCCTGTGGCAGAAACGGGCTTCCACAGAAAACAATTATTTTAATATTATTTCACAATATTACTGTTTTACTGTATTTTTGATCAAATAAATGCAGCCTTTGTGAGCATAAGAGACTCGTAAAATCGTAATACAAACTTCTGACAGGTGGTGTATGAGTCGCTTTGTATGAAAGCAATTATGAATCAATGTAAACACAGATGACAATTGCCTATATAATATGGTAAAAGGAAAAGCACGGAATAACCTTGGCTAGCATCACATGTTAATTGTAAACAGAGCAAATGCATGTGAAAATGAAGATGTAATTTGAGCACATGCCTCACTGAAGACAGTGATCTATAATTACTTCAGCCTGCATGCTTGAAATGCGGCCCAACAGTTTGCTAACTGTATTACAGCAACAGTAAAAGCAGCCCGCATCTCCAGATGCTACTGCTACTACATGCATTAGTGTCATCTGTTAAAGGCCATTCTGTGAAATCAGATATAGGTCATAAGATTCAGAGTGAATCAAGATCACTACAGTGAAACGTCATAAGAGCATTTTTAAACATACATGGGAGCACATTAAAACCAGTCAGTTTAATACTGGTAATTATATTACAACAAATAGCAATTGAGATTTTATTCTGCTTTTGAACTTCACACGCTGAAGTGTGTAGCCACTTACTTCTACAATGTCCGAGTTGGTTCTGCTCTCATGAGGTTCGTTGTATTCTGTGTACTTGAGCAAGACCTTGTCCATGTCTGTGCTGGCGTACTGGAAGAGCTTATTGGAGCGGTTGAAGATAATCAGGGCTATTTCACAGTCACACAGAACACTGAGCTCATACGCCTTCTTCATCAGACCAAACTTCCTCTTTGTGAACGTCACCTAGGAAAATGACAGGAGAAATATTAAGAAGGTTAGAAATGTTATCCTTGTGGTCATGAATATCAAAAAGGAGTTCAAGTAACTTGATCAAGAACTGTTCACTGTTGACTGATTTTGTCCAGACAAAAGCTAGATTATGGAAACAAATTATGGATGCAATAAAATGTCAATATGCTCTTTTCAACTTTCTATTAATTAGAGAATCCAGAAAAAAAAAACATACAATTTCCACAAAATATATTAAGTGGCACAACTATTTTCAACATTGATAATAAATGTTTCTTGAGCAGCAAATCAGTCTAGAATGATTATTGAAGGATGCTGTTTCTGTTCATTAAAGATTCCCGAAAAACCAGTTTCCACAAAAGCAACACGACTGTTTTCAACATTAATAATAATAACAAAACATACAATTTCCACAAAATATATTAAGTGGCACAACTATTTTCAACATTGATAATAAATGTTTATTGAGCAGCAAATCAGTCTAGAATGATTATTGAAGGATGCTGTTTCTGTTCATTAAAGATTCCCGAAAAACCAGTTTCCACAAAAGCAACACGACTGTTTTCAACATTAATAATAATAATAATAAACAAATGTAAACTGAATGGAAAATCAGCATATTAGAATGATTTCTAAAGGATCATGTGACACTAAAGACTGCAGTAATGATGCTGATTCAGCTTTGTTATATAGATATAAATTACATTTTTAAATATATTACAGCAGAAAACAGTGCTTTTAAATTTGTAATATTTTCACAATATTAATGCTTTTACTGTATGTTTTATCACCTGACTTTTAAATGGCAGTATATGTAATATTTCATACAACTTCAAGCTTTTAATACTCTTACAGAAACTACTATGGTAGTGTACTGTTTTTTTTCTGAGGGTACGCTCATTAATAGTATCGGAAGAAGTCCAGCTGTCAGGGTTGCCAGATCATCTCATGTTTCCTGCCAATTATCACCCTCCCTGAGGAATCTCAAGCTTGCTGCCACTTCACAGCTGAGGGACACATTCTTACAGCAGTACATGAAACACTGAGAACAAATTATTTCCGTGTTTGTTGTCAATGTCACAGTGTAAAATCACATTAGAAATGCTCAAACACAGCGTTCCAGAGACTCTTACAGAGGATTGATGAGTGCTTTTGGATAAGAAAACTATTTCAACCAAACTACAGTCAAGTTATGTACAATGTGGACCAAGAGTAATCAGAGCCAAAAAGAATGAAAACAACAACATAATATATTAGATTGGAAAGACAACAGTACCAAAATTACCATGGTTTTACCATGTTTTTAGAGCATGGTACCATAAGAAGAAAAAAACTGGTAGTACACATGTACTTTTTTAACATGGTACTTCCAGGAATACTATGGTACAATCATGGCACGTGTAATTTTTTAAAAGAAGTGAAGTATGGCAATACCATGTTTTTCTGGATATGGTTCTAATGCTATGTTATTTACACTTTGGAGTACAATATACATACATACCCTACTACTGTATATAAATACAGTACTCAGATGGCATATAGACCATGAAATTACCATCTGATGTACTATCATGTACAGTACCATTTTTAAAGTTTGGGGTCAGTAAAATTTTTGAAAGCAATTAATACTTTTATTCAGCAAAGACACATTAAATTGACAAAAGTGACACTAAAGACATTTATAATGTTACAAATGATTTCTATTGATAATAAATGCTGCTCTTTTGACGTTTCTGTTCATTAAAGATTCCCGAAAAAACAGTTTCCTCAAAAGCAACACGACTGTTTTCAACATTAATAATAATAATAATAAACAAATGGAAACTGAATGGAAAATCAGCATATTAGAATGATTTCTAAAGGATCATGTGACACTGAAGACTGGAGTAACGATGCTAAGAAAATTCAGCTTTGCATCACAAGAATAAATTACATTTTCAAATAGCAAACCGTTATTTAAAACTGTAATAATATTTCACAATATTACCTTGGTCAACATAAGATTAAAACATTCAAAAGATATGGTAAAAGCAAACGTTTTTTCTAATGATAATGCTAACAGGAAGTCACTGGGCTTCTTACATCATGCTATCACTTAAAATAGATCAAGGCTTTCAACTATATAGTAAACTAACACCAACCTAACAACATACAGTACAGAGGAATTATTCATGTACACAGGAACCTATTTCTACGTACATATGTATGTCACTGACTCAAAACCTTCAGTGTAGATCACTGATCAAAAACACTGTGTGTACCAAAAATACTATCCCGAACAAGAGCGCCCAGACTACATAGGGTTTGTGGTGCGGGTTGGTATTTTAAACTTACATTCCAGTGCAGACTGGGTAAATTCAGGCCTGTCCCTGTGGTTTTAGTGTGAGTGATGGCCGTCAGGGGCAGAGAGAGACACTGTACAAGCCCTCAGACTGACCAGTGTCCTAATGAGAGATGTGGAGCCCAGAACTGCTCTAATTACTGCGACCACACCACAGGGACTGCAGCCCGCTGAGGAACCCAGACAAGAGCTCCTGTGTGCAGGGAGGAGGGTCAGCCCGGTCCCACCACGACAGACCCCGAGTCTGACCTGTCCATTCATTAAACATGCTTAAGAGACCACGGGGCGCTCCTGAGCGAACATATGAACAGATATAAATCAATATATGTTAGGAATGAAGGTGTGGGACGTTCCTTCTGCTCCAATGGTCTACAAAGCTGATTTATAAGTCACTGTTTTGTGACATAAACATTTGTATCCAGTGATTACAGATGCTGTTGATTATGGATTAGAATCAAAAGGATTTGAATTATTCTGAATGTTTAACCATTCCATTTTTAACCCTTTAAAGGAAGCACTACAAAACTAACTGTGGTTCAGTGCCGAAACGCTCCAAACGAGTTATTGAATAAGTCACTTAATCACTTCAAACTTATCACTTAAACGTTTGTGTCTGATTTGTAAGTCTAAGTAGGTTTTTGACCAATTCCTTCAAAAAATGCGGTTTATAATAGTTTCCTGCTCGTGAATCAATTGCAAAGGTCATGCTTGTTTTAATTTGGTTATTAAAAAAATGGAACCAGTTCTGAGTAAGAACTAGTTTTATACTAGTTAATGATATCTAGAGACTGGTGTGGATTATGGCTGATTTATGTGCAAAAATACACTACAGTTCACAAAGTAAGATTATTAAATTATTTTTAAAGATGAAGTCTCACCAAGGCTGCAATATTTTGATCAAAATGCAATAAAAAACAGTAATATTATGATATATTATTACAATTTATAATACGTTTTATATTATAGTATATTTTGAAATCGAATTTATTCCTGTGATGGCAAAGCTGATTTTCGTCAGCCATTACTCCAGTATTCAGTGTCATGTGATCCATCAGAAATCAGTTAATAAACATTTCTTATTAATATCAATGTTGAAAACAGTTGTGCAGTTGTGTGTGATCCAATAATTATTTAATGAATAGGAAGTTTAATGTGTATTTATTTGAAAAATAACTCTCTTTTAACATAACTGCTTTTACTGTCATATTTGGTCAATTTAATGCATTCTTGCTGAATAAGAGTTTTAACACAATTTTGAAGTTTTTTCCCCCCACAAATTTTTAACATCTAGTAGCTGACTTGGAAAGCACCTAACATTTTTCTTTACTACAGTTTTAGTCTGGATTCATGCAGCAGACATCTTCGTCTCACCTGTCTGTTTCTTTCATGCATTATGCGAGTAATTTGGATCTTCTTACGCCCCATTGTCACTTCCTTTTGTCTCTCTTTGCAAATCAAAATCCTCTTTACTCTTCAGTGATTGTGAAAGATTATGTTTTGGTTTTACTGCATCCTCTCTGCATTCTTCACCACACCAGAACCTGCAAGAGATGCAAGGAGATGTTAGGCAAGATGACAAACATGTACAGAATTTCCATAAATACCATAAACAGCACAGAGAAAAATACAAAAGTGAGTGAAGAATAAAAAAAAAAAATGCAAGCAATATTTCAGTGTCGCTGGCACATTTCTGAACTCATCCATTTTCACGATCTCTCTTGTAATCTGATTTGCTGGCTGGCTGGTGTAAACAGCATCAGTATTATACTAAACCCACTGGATTATGGGGGCAGGAAAAGTCACTGCACAAGTGCTCTAACAGTATTTCTCATTAACATGGATTCAAGCCATCTTATTTCCCATTAAAACCACATCATACAGCTACTAGTGCGCATAATCTACCACAATCCCACATAAATCTGAAACTACAACATGTAATCTGGGGAATCCTGACACATCACAGCCTGTCATTACCTTTCAGTGCAATATACATCCCCAAGAGAGAAACTTACTTCAGCTTGTATTTACTCCTCACTCAGAATGCTTCCCAAGAAATATAAGAAAAGATCACAAATATATCACTACAACTATTTCTGGAGCTCATATAAAGTGGCTACAATGGCTTTTTAAAGCAGTTCCTCCTCACAACCCTGTTTTTAGAGAATTCCTGCCTGATGTTCTCAGTGAAGGAGCAGATCTTGAGATCTGATGGAAGACAAAGGAACGACACCCAGCACTTTCACACCTTCCCGCTCATCTCCACAGTTACCAGGGCAACCAACGAGATGCCATACATATGATCTATCAACTCTGTCTAAGTGAAAAATAGAAGGAGCCAGTGCTATAAAATAACACTGTATATTTTAGCAATGCTTTTACATTTTGTATCTTGTGTGTTTAGGATTGTACATTCAAATTTGCATTTCGTATTTCACACTTATGCTTCTGGCAGACTCTTTTATTAAAAGCAACATAAACTGCAATCAAGCAATCAAGGTATACAACTTTTAAAATCAATTTATGCATTCCCTGTTTGAGCTACAGGAATACCTATAAGTTGTATAGGCCTGTTTACTAAGACTGTATGTTTCAAATTGAATTGGAATAAAAATAAAATATTTAAAATGTATATATTTTTCACAAGACAATATTCATAATGTTTCATTGTTAATAATTTACCTATGGTAAAAGAGAGGGAATGCATGCAGGGATGATATGCTATTCAAATGCTAAGAGATTCATCATGCAAATTTACGAGTGAATGTCACAGCAGCGGTGAGACACACTGTAACTCTTCTGCTGTCCAGGATTTGCATTAATGTACTTTGCATAGTTATACTTTCTTGTTAAAGAGGGTTTGCATCTGTGGTTTATAAAACACCACTTTTCCTGAAATGCAAACAACAAGCAGGTTTGGTTCATTCGGTGCATACTGTTTCTATATACTGTACATCTGAAAAAAAATACATGAAAAAATAATACATATTCAATTCAAACACTTTATTTGTCCACTAAAGGCAATTTAAAAGGTCATGTAGAGCAACATAAACAATATATAAAACACAACATAATATTAAAAACCCACACTATATTATATATACAGTGGCGTGAAAAATTGAAAAAATCCTGATTTCTTATTCTTTTTGGCATGTTTGTCACACTTTAATGTTTCAGATCATTAAACTAATTTAAATATTAGTAAAAGATAACATAAGTGAACACAACATGCAGTTTTTAAATGAAGGTTTTTATTATTAAGGGAAAACAAAATCCAAAACTACATGGCCCTGTGTGAAAAAGTGTTTGCCCCCTAAACCTAATAACTGGTCGGGCCACCCTTAGCAGCAACAACTGCAATCAAGCATTTGCGATAACTTGCAATGAGTCTGTAACAGCGCTGTGGAGGAATTTTGGTCCACTCATCTATGCAGAATTGTTGTAATTCAACCACATTGGAGGGTTTTCGAGCATGAACCGCCTTTTTAAGGTCATGCCACAGCATCTCAATAGGATTCAGGTCAGGACTTTGACTAGGCCACTCCAAAGTCTTCATTTTGTTCTTCTTCAGCCATTCAGAGGTGGACTTGCTGGTGTGTTTTGGATCATTGTCCTGCTGCAGAACCCAAGTTCGCTTCAGCTTGAGGTCACAAACAGATGTCTGGACATTCTCCTTTAGGATTTTTTGGTAAACAGCTGAATTCATGGTTCTATTTATCACAGCAAGTCTTCCAGGTCCTGAAGCAGCAAAACAGCCCCAGACCATCACACTACCACCACCATATTTTACTGTTGGTATGATGTTCTTTTTCTGAAATGCAGTGTTACTTTTACGGCAGACGTAATGGGACACACACCTTCCAAAAAGTTCAACTTTTGTCTCGTCAGTCCACAGAGTAGCCTGGGTGTGGCTAGAGAAATTGAACTCAGGTGTGATAAACCACAGTTTTAACAGGGGGGCAAACACTTCTTCACACAGGGCCATGTAGTTTTGGATTTTGTTTTCCCTTAATAATAAAAACCTTCATTTAAAAACTGCACTTTGTGTTTACTTGTGTTATCTTTGAATAATATTTAAATTAGTTTGATGATCTGAAACATTAAAGTGTGACAAACATGCAAAAAAATAAGAAATCAGGAAGGGGGCCAACACTTTTTCACACCACTGTATATATAACATAGATTAACATAAATCATCAGTACTTCACTTCCAAAGGCTTTGTGAATCGGTTTGACTGAACCACTAGAAAGAACCGACTCAAATGAGACAAATCATCACTAATTTGAGTTCCATTCTCACATAGTCTGTTTAATTCATCGACGCTCTCATGAAAGGAACTGAAAGATGCGCTGCTGCACAGATAAAATGAACACCATTTACAATGAGTGACTAAAACAGATAAATGTTTCCAGCAGACCAATGCGATTCAGTCAGAAACACAACTGGCATTGTCCCACAGCACACAGACATGACATAATCTTGCTTATAGCCGTGCTCTGGAGCCGAGTAAATGCCTGGCCTCTTTACATAAATAATTTTTACTATAATTCACTACACAAAACATGGACACAACATTATACCCTGTGGTCTTATATGAGGACGACTGCATCTAACCTACTAGGGCTTGTCTAGTAATTAAGGGTTGTGTGATTGTTTCCATAATAAATGCAGGCCGACACAGCTACGTTCTGCAAAACATCTGGCTTCAGGGGTCTCATTTCTTTGTTTTTGAACATTTTATTATATTTCCATGTTTTTGCCATTCAAGAAGATCTGCATAAGCAGTTATTTCTATTATGATGTAATTTAAGGACATTGTTTTACATCATTACTGTCAGAAACATTCATTTTTGTAGATGTATTCAGACGGACTGCTTTACAAAACATTGGAAATGTAATCAGGATTTAATTGTACGAGTTCTGGACTGGTTTATTTATTATAACTCACAACAGACTGATGAACTTCTGCAAAAAGCCAGTTTGGAGTAAAAAAAAAAAATTAAGTTCATAGTAAATTTCAACAAGTGTCTTATGCTCACCAAGGCTGCACTTATTTGATTTATTTGCTGTACAAAATAATAATATAATGAAATATTAGTACAATTTAAAACAGCTGCTTTCTGTTTTAATATACATTTTAAAATGTAATTTATTCCTGTGATGCAAAGCTGAAATTTCAGCATCCAATATGCTGATTTGCTGCTCAATAAACATTTCTTTTTGTTATTAATGTTGAAAACAGTTGTGCTGCTTTATATTTTTGTAGAAATAGTCTTTTTTCAGGATTCTTTGGTTTGAAAAAAGTCCAAAAGTACATTTATTTGAAATTTAAATCTTTTTTATAAATGTATTTACTGTCACTTTTAATCAATTTAATGTGCCTTTGCTGAATAAAAGTATTGCCTATTTTTATGTTTTTGGAAAAAAAAAGGAAAACTGAAAGTGTATGTCTTTAGATTCACATTTGTAAAATATGAATTCACATTGCGAGATATAAAGTCACAACTGTGAGAAGCATTTGTTGCAATTGTGAAATAAAAATGTCAAAATATGAGTCACATTACAGTCACGACTTTGAGATATAAAGGTGCAACTAGGGGTGTGCGATATTGAAAAAAAAAATATCTCTATATTTTTTGGGATATTTTCAATAATGATAATTAGATGATATTTTGCCGAGTGTGTTACTGTGCTGATATCTTACTACCATGGACAGCTGCAGTTTTTGATATTCTTCATTCTGTGTGGTCAGTTCACAGTGAAAAGAAATTAATCTTTTCATATAAGTTTAAATTGAATTTTACCTTTTATGGGCATTTTTACCTTTAGTAAAGACATTTTTTCTAAAAGTGTGCATCTTTTGAGTCAAATTCTTACATTTAATCAGTCAATTAGAATAATAAGACATTTAGGCTGTTCCCAAACAAATGAAACCAGTATCAACAAAATTAATCTTTGCAGAAGTTGCATCTGAAGTGGCATTTAGATGTATTTACACACTATTTAATTCAGCTCAGAGGGACATGGAGTGCTTTAACCTGCAGTTACAAATGCATAACGTTTTGATATTTTAAACATAAAACATTGAATGATGTTTGAAATTATTTTTAAAATGAAGATACTTAAAATGTGAAGTTAAAATCGCCAGTAGGTGGCAGCAAGCCACTGTTAACAAGTGAGTCATTGCGACTGAACCGAATCATTAAAATGGTTGATTCATTCGGAACGAAACGCCGTCATTGCTCAGAGACGCAGAACTGTTCTGTGGTGGCTGTTTGGAATTATTTTCGGTTGGCGAAATAGAGCAAAAAACAGGCAATATTGGTGTCTAAAACTTAAGTGTCTTAATATTAACTTATTGTTCATTGAACTGTTGTATAAAATCAGTATCACATTTGTAATCATGCCTATTTTTGAAGAAAAAAATGGCACTCTTCGAGTGATTTTAACTATATGAAATAATATAAATATGTAAATTTTCTGTCCCCATATCTTGAATTTTGTGATATTTCTTGATGCATTTTAATAGACTGAATCATGCAG